ATTCCTGCAGTGAGAGAGGACCTGGCAAGGAAGTGCCTCCCCCATCTTGGACAAAAGGGGCCCTTTTGGGGGCTCCTTCTGAGCACTGATCTCTTCTCTCAGTTCCTCTGCACTGTGATTGCCATCCTGCTGCACTGCTTCTTCCTCTCCACCTTCGCCTGGCTCTTTGTCCAGGGCCTCCACATCTACCGCATGCAAACTGAAGCCCGCAATGTCAACTTCGGGGCCATGAGGTTCTACTATGCCATTGGCTGGGGGGTGCCTGCCATCATCACAGGTAGGTGCTGCCTACTGGGGAAGACAGGTGCCTGCTTGGAGGGAGGTGGGAAGTGGCTCAGGCCTGGGGCCATGCTAGGAGCATGCTTAGAATCTCCTTCCATCAGCCCCAGCTGTGGGAGGAGCACCGCGCAGGTTTCCAGGTATTCAGGTACTATCTATCCAGCCAATGAGACAGGTAGGAGGAGATGTGTGTAGAATGTATGTAGACGTCTATGGGCATCCATGTTTGCAGCTGTGCATGTGCTTGTGGCTATATGGGTCCAGCCAGGAGCATCCCCAGCAGCTCTGTGCACTGGAGATGGTCAGTGAGGTCCAGGCTGGTGTGACAACCATACAGGCAGAGGTGAAGGCCACATGCATTCGTTTCCACTCAGGGCTCATCTCTACTGCTGCCAAGGTCCATCCCAGTGAGAAAGGAGCTGAGCAGCCCCCACTCACACCCCCTCCATATGAGTCCATTGGTGTACACCTGACCAGAAGCTAGCCAGGGAGGGTGCTCTGAGCTTATCCTCAGTACCTGCTTCCAGGCCTGACAGAGACCGTGGGTGCAAGAGCGGGCATGGAGAATGAGGCCAGAGCAGCCTGGCTGGTGGACTTCGGGGTCTGCAGAGTGCCTGTGGGCATGGCGGGGAGACAAGTCCTCAGGCCCCTTGGGCCAGGCTCTGCTGCTGCCATGGGATAGATGAGCCCTTGGTGTTCTGGCAGGGCCTCCAGTTCCCCTGATGTGGAACATCAGTGGTCTCAGCAGCCAGGGTCTCCTTCCTCCTAAACAACCAGCAAGGCCTCTCTCCTGTCCTACTTCAGGATGGGCCTGGAGCTCCTGCCATTCCAGGGTGTGCAGCATAGGGCACAGATGCTCTTTGGATGTTCATCTTCATCTGTGTCCCAGGACCTTTGTGCTTCTGGCTGCCATGCATAGCCAGATTGGGCAGTTTGTGCCCTGTCCTGGGGCTCTAAAATGGACCCCATTGATACTGATCTCCAAGGAGCATTTGGAAGTGGCATCAGCCAGTGCTTGGTCCCTGCTTTGGGTTTCTTTGCTGGGAGATGCCCTGGAAATGCAGAGTAAGTCCAAGCAGCTGTGCTTGGAACTAAGCCTTCCCTTCCCTCTCCTCCCCTCCCCAGGACTGTCAGTTGGCCTGGACCCTGAGGGCTATGGGAACCCTGACTTCTGCTGGATTTCCATCCATGATAAGCTGGTCTGGAGCTTTGCGGGCCCCATCACCATCGTCATTGTGGTAAATTCTCACTCTGTTAATACCTGCCAAGCCCCTGTTCTGTGCCAGGCATCTTGGCCTCTTCCCCTCTTGCTCTTTCCCAGGTTTCTGCTGGCTCTTCCACATCATGTCCCTCCCTGTGTAGGTCCTCTCTGCTCCTTCTCCTTTCTTCTCCATGTGCTCCTCCTCCCCTGGACTCCCCTTCTCACCATTCCCCAAGCTCTTGCAGACGGATATCTATGGAAGAAGCTCAGCTCTGCACAGGGCTGGCTGCCCACCCAGTGTCATAGGGAGGGGCAGAGAGCACCAGGGCCGGAGCAGCAGAGCAGCCTCTAACCAGTCTCTGCTTTCAGATGAATGGAGTTATGTTCCTGCTGGTGGCAAAGATGTCGTGTTCCCCTGGTCAGAAGGAGGCCAAGAAGAAGTCAGTGCTGTGAGTATGGACTGGTGGGATCCCAGGAGGGCTCACCCACTCGGACCGCCCCCAACTGGGGCTGCTCCTGGCCTTGCCTTTTATTGCTCCAACTGGCCAAACACCCCCTGCGTGCACACTCCCTTCTCCATCACCACCCAGACCTCCGTGTCCTTTTTTGTCCAGTCAGTTTTCCCCTCTTGCCTGCTGCCAAGGACAGTCATTGCTGTAACCCTGTCTCCTTCCCCAGCTAAGCTGCCATGACTTAGCTTCCTCCCTCCAGGCTGGCCAAGGCTGAAATGCATGACTTCACTCCTTGCCTTGCCCTTCCCATGCACTCCCTCACCTGCTACCTCACACTCCTGCTCCATCCCCATATCTTCAGGGCTCTGCTTCTCTCCTGCCCCTGTCTCCAAGCTTGTTCCCCCCTGCTCCTACCCTGCTTTGCTCTCCATTTGTGACCCTCTCCCATTCACCCTCCACTTCTCCTTCCAAGCCACACTGTAATGCTGGGTCTGCTTCCCTGTCTTGGTGCCAAGGGGCCTGTCTGTGTATGTCTGCACTGCGCTGCATCCGATTTAGAAAGGAAGTTTCTTGGGTTGGGAACTGTGTCATCCTCTGGGCATGGCTGGTGCCCAGCTAAGAGCAGTCAGTATGCAGCAAGTGCAGCTGTGGAGCTGGAGAATACTGCATGTGCCCATGAACTTTTGGCGTGGGAAAGTGGTGCCGAGAGAGAGCCAGGCAGCTGGTGACAGGCGTGTGCTTTCCCCTGTGTTTCTGTCAGAGCAATATTCTAGGTTAACAACACAGTCTAACCTCAGTGTGTGTGTGTGTGTGTGTGTGTGTGCTTGTCTGTCTGTCTGTCTGTCTCTCTCTCTCCAGCATGACGCTACGAAGCTCATTTGTTCTGCTTCTAGTTATTAGTACTACCTGGCTCTTTGGCCTCTTGGCTGTCAACAACAGTGTCCTGGCTTTCCACTACCTCTACACTGTCCTCTGCAGCCTCCAGGTAACTCTCTGTCCAGCCTCTGCCCAGGGATGCCAAGCAGGAGCTCAGCCCCTCCTCTTTCCTCCCCTCCCCTCCCAGGATGCCTCCCACTGGACAAGGGAAAGTGAAGGGAAGAGGCAGTCGAATGGAAAGGAGAGTTACAGGGAGGTGGGGAGAGGAGGGCAGGAAACAGGGAGTGGGGGACCAATGATTTTTGCTCCAGCAGGATCCCTCTGTGCCCCCCGCCCTACCCCTGTACTGCTGTGCGACAGAAGAGATCGCTTCTCCCCACCCCTGTGTGTGCCTTGCTCTGCAGCCCTTGGCTTCCCTGTCCCCTCCTATGCTGCTCCCTGGCTCAGGCCTGCCTGGCAGTAACCCAGCAACTCCCAAGCTTTGATCTCTCCCCTCTGAACACTGACACTGCTGAGCCATGTTTGACCCAGCAAGTGACTTGGCAGGGGAGATTCCCTTCTTCTCAGCCTTCAGTGACCCAGTGTAGTTAGAGGGTGAAGGCCTGTCCCTTGAATTGTGGCAGGCTGACCCCTGCAAAAGTCTATAATGCCTCCAATGTATGGATCTCAGCTACACAATTTATGGTGATGGGTGATTGTTCTTGGGCTTTCTCCCTAGCTTGCTCCTTCAGCCTTTTGGCTAGGGCAAGTGAGACTAAGGGGCATCAAACTCCAAGGCCTCCAGACTTGGGGCTTTCATGCAGAATGCTTGTCCTGGGTCCTAGAGTATCTGAAGCTCGAAGTGGAAGAGTTTGGCAGGTAGGATATTTGCTGGTGGTTGTGCCATACAGACTTGAATGGTTGAGCTCTTCTCAGTTGATAGAGTTGGGAACTGATGTGGTTGATTTGGCCCCTGACATGAAATTAAAAAAAAAAGAAGGGGGTGACCCAGCAAGCAGTGTAGCCCAGATCTCTCCAACCACCTCTGAGGCCAACGGGTGCTGGGTTCTCTTCCACTCTGATGCACGTGCACACCCACTCCTCTTTCCCCTTGGCACACATGCACACATGTTGCTGTTACTAGTGTCACACTCACAAGCTGAGATTGCTGCCTGCTGAAGAGGCTGGTCTAGGTGCATCTCCAGCACATGCCTACCTGAGCTAGGATGAATGGGCCCACTTGGTGCCACCAGCAGTTGAACTGTGGCAGTACATTGCCCGCAAGGCCAAGCAGCTCGAGCTCTAAGCCATCCCAGGACCCGAGCCGGCTCAGGTGTGTTCCCCTGGCAGGGCCTCACGAAGGTTTGCCAACTGAGAGCGGCCCTGGCCCCACCCTTTGCTAGCAGTTTTCAGGGCACTGGGCCTTTCCATTCTGTCAATCCCTCCTCCCCCCTCGTCCCTGACAGCTTCTGCCTGCCTTTAGCTCAAGCTTGGTGCTGTCAGCTCCCTCTTGCTGCTGCCCTCACCCCTGGGCTACCTGCTGCCTCTAGTAGCCATTGTCCTGCCTAGGCAGAGTCCCACCGGGCTCTGGTGGTAGCATGCCCCAAGCAGCCAGCAGCTGTGATCTCTTCCTGGGGCACCTGTGGGGTGTTACCCAGGCCTGCTCTGAATCAGCTGCCCAAGAGGAGTCTCCCTGAATGAAGCGATGGGCCTGGGTTTGTCATGGGTCTTTGCTCACCTGAAAGCCTGCGGGGATGCTTGCGGGCTACAGGGGCTGCATGGAGGCATGAGCTATGAGCCCCCAGTGCCTGGAATTTGAGTGGCACCTAATTATCCGCTGTCTGCCCTTCCTAGCTGCACCAACCCGGCTGTGCCAGCATTGCAGCACCCCTGTCCTAACCGTCCCCTCTGGTGTCTGTTACACTGCATTGCTGCAAAGCCTTGCTCTGCTTGAGCTACTCCCTGGTGCTGGGAGCCCTGAGAACAGGATTGGGCCAGGTCCAGCTGCCAGGGCCCCATGCTGCCCAAACCACCTCTGTTCCGGTTTTCCTCCCCCACTTACCTTGCCACTCTCAAGCCACAGTATCTATGCTGCCTGATCCAGCTGCTACAAGTGAGGGCCCTCCCTGAGAGCTGGCGAGCTGGTAGACTAATGTGGAGAGGCCTTTGTGCTTGCTGGCGTGTACCCAGGTTCATAACCACCCCTGGCCTCAGAGCCCTTTTGGTCCCCAGCAGCTCTACACCCGAGCAGATCTCCTGGGTTCTGGAGGGAAAGGTGACTGGCTTCTGCAGTGCTCCACATGGCCCTGACCTGTTTTCTCACCCATCTTCCCGTGGGCCTCAGGGAACTGAACCAGGAGGCAGCCCCCTCCAAGAGGGAGTCACTTCTTCCTTCCTCTTCCTGAGACTGAAGAGTCGTGCGGGGCCCTAAATGGCAGCTGAGCAGCACAGGGATGCCTCCCTTGCACTCCTGCTGCTTGCTACACCCCTGCCATCCAAAGAGGTGCTTGCAGCAGTGTGCCCGATGCTGGAGAGCCACGTCTGTGCACGGGCAGGACTGACTGAAGCAGAAGTCACCAGGTCCTGGCAGTGGGTTCCAGGGGAGCAGACTGGAACCAATAGCACATTTGTGAATGGCTCCATGCAGCCCCACCGCTTGGTGTGGAGCAGGGGGCTCCAGGAGGTACTGTGGGCTTCCCCCTCGGCACTCCTACTTACAGCTTCCCTTCCCTTCCCTTCCCTTCCCTCTCAGGGCTTGGCTGTGTTGCTTCTGTTCTGTGTCCTGAATGAAGAGGTGCAGGAGGCCTGGAAACTGGCCTGCCTTGGCAAGAAGGGGCAGGGTGAGGAGGCAGCCAGGAGTGCACAGGTGGGTGACGGAGCGGCTTGTCTGTAGGCTGAATCATGGGGAAAGCACTGTGTCCTCCTCTCAGCCTGTCATTTAGCTGCCTGAGGGGCAGTGCCTTCCCTCAGTCATCCCCGCTGCTCCAGGGAGGCAGTGGGGGAGGTCCTGAGCAGAGGGTTGAGCTCTGCAGCTGGACCAAGCAGCCACATCAGAATGTAGGTATTGCCAATCCCAGGGAGCCCTGTGTTCCCATGTGGAGGCATCTGTGCCCCTGGGAAAGAAGGGGACGCCTTGCTGGGCAGAGCCCTGGGGGCTTCTGAATGGGCTCAGGCCCCTGTCCCCTCTCTGTGGTGATAGACCCAGTGGGTGGGAGTGGGACTGTGACACCCAGATGCAGCAAACAGACTCCTAATGAAGCCTCCACACTTCTTCCTCACCAGGGCCCCAGTGCATACAACAACACGGCGCTGTTTGAGGAGAGTGGCCTCATCCGTATCACCCTGGGGGCCTCCACCATCTCCTCAGTCAGCAGCGTCCGCTCCGGCCACACCCACTCCAGCCAGCGGGGTTACCTCAGGTAGGGTGTAGGCTGGCAGGGCCCAGCCTGGCAGCAGGGTGGTAGTGAGCCCATGTGTGCATGGCTGTGACGTGATGGATGTGGCAGGGTGAGGGTGCTTCTCTCCTCCCAGGCATTGCCTGCCTGCCCTCTGGCCCCTTTATTGTGGATGAGCAGGACTCCTGGGTTTCCCCCAGTACCTCTGCTGACTCCCTTCAGTCCTTGCCCATAAGTACCCCTGCTGGTCCAGCCCTGGAGCTCAGCCAGTGCCCCTAACTCCTGGCTCACAGCCCATTGCTGTTCCAGTCCTGGGCACCCCATGCAGCTCTGCACCTCAGGCCTAGCCCTCCAGGGTCTCTGCCTCTGTGTCTTGTCTTCTCATCCTGGTGCTGATGCCAAGTGCAGAAGATGAGAGGATAGGGCTGCATTACCCGGAGCACTGCCTGGTAAGGAATCGGGGTCGCAGTCTTGTGCCTGGTGTGTTTCAGAGAGAACATGATGGCGCGTCAGGGCTCTGCCCTGGATCACAGCCTACTCGGTCACACCGGCCCCACGGACCTCGATGTGGCAATGTTCCACCGTGATGCAGGAGGAGGTAAGGCTGGTGCCCAGCCCTCTCACATTGCTATGAGTGTGGAGGGGCCCCAGACTGCCCCAAAACAGCAGCTGCCATAGCATGGGGCAGGTCCCAAGCTAGCGCGGAGGCTTTGGAGCATAGGAAAGGCCATGCTGGGTCAGGCTAAAAGTCTGCCAGCCTGTGTCCTGTCTCCCACAATGGCAAATAGTGGATGCTTTAGAGGAAGAGTCCAAGGAACAGGGTGGGTATGGAGCAACCCAGCCCCTGCCATCCCTCCCAGGCACCAGCAGCAGGTCACATCCCCAACTGCTGTGGTTAACTGCTGTCAGTGGACCTGCCCTCCAAAAGTTGGTCCAGTCCCTTTTGGAACCTGGTTATGCTCTTGGCCTTGACAATGAGCGCCACACATGAGGGATGTATCTCCTTCAACTTTGTGCTGCAGGCATTGGCTCAGAGCACCTGCCCCTACCAGTCAGCCTGTTGGTTCCTGAGTCTGCACAGACTGTGATTAAGGCAGAAGGGAGCAGCCAGAGTCACTCATAGAATTGTAGGAAATTCAGGTTGGAAGGGACCTTGGGAGGTCATCTAGTCCAACCTCCTGCTAAAAGCAGGACCGTCCCCAGCTGGATCATTCCAGCCAGGGCTTAGTCAAGCTGGGCCTTAAAAACCTCCATGGATGGTGATTCCACCATCTCTCTAGGTAACTTGTTCCAGGGCTTCCACCCTCCTAATGAGAAAGCTGTTCCTAATATCCAACCTAAACCTCCCTTGCAGCAACTTGAGACCATTGCTCCTTGTTCTGTCACTCAGCAGCGTCTACCCTTGGGCAGAATGGGAATTGATCTGTCTAGTTACTGGAGGTGAAAATAGGGCAAGGCGGGGCTGTGACCTGGGCTGCACTGTGGGGTAGCCTATGGTTTTCAGGAGGGGAGAGCCAGATCAGGGGGTTCAGCTGAGGATGCAGGCAGGAGAACCCTATCCCACAATGCCCCCCTCCTCTTCCAACCTCCATGCGTCCTGCCCAGATCAAGACTCAGACTCGGACAGCGACCTCTCCCTGGATGAGGAGCGCAGCCTCTCCATCCCCTCATCGGAGAGCGAGGAGAATGTGCGTCTGCGTGGCAGGTTCCAGCGCCAGTTCAAACGGGCCGCACACAGCGAGCGTCTCCTCACCAATCCCTCCAACACCACTCCCAAGGGCAAGTACCACAGGAGGGTCCTGCCGGATGCTGGGGCCCTGGCAGTCAACCAGGGCCTGGAGTTATGCAGACCTGAGGGTGGGAGGGAAGGGTCTCCACCCACAGGGCACTTCTGAAGCACCTGTTGTTGATGCAGCATGATGCTTTGCTAAGATAAAATCTAAACCTGATGAGCCCTGGGACTAGCTAAGAGGATCCAGGCCAGGCGGGACTGCAGGAGAGGCAGGGGAATGCCACCACCTGTCCTGTCTGCTGGTTCTCCCTTGTGAGTCCCACCAGCCCACTGCAGGCTGTGAGTCACAAGATTGGAGAGGCCTTGTGAATTGACCCCTGTGAGCATCACAGCAGGTCCTGATTTTAGTCGTATCCAGGCATAACGTGTTCTTCCTCCCCTGCGGTCTTGCCCTGCCCCTCCCCAGATGTGGATGGCAATGATCTGATGTCCTACTGGCCAGCGTTGGGTGAATGCGAGGTTCACCCCTGCTCTCTGCAGAAATGGGGCTCTGAGCGGAAGCTGGGATTCGACATCAATAAAGATGCAGCCAACAACAACCAGCCAGACCTGGCCCTGACCAGCGGGGACGAGAACTCCCTCACCCAGACCCAGCGCCAAAGGAAAGGTAACTGTGCTGGTTGGGGGTGGGGACAATTGCCCCAGAGCCCTGCCAGTGCTCCTGGGCGCATACTGTACATCCTATTGACTGCATCCTCAGAGCCTTGCCACACCCTCTGCCCATGGAGGACTGACACTGCTTGGGCAGACTGACCATTCATGGCTTCTCTGCCTGCCTACTGGCATTAGACGTATCTGTTCTGGAGATGACAGAGTGTAGGTGCTGGCATCTTGAAACCATCCCAAACACACCCAGCTGCAACCTCCTCCCCCACATGGGTCTCACAGAGAGGGGCAGCACAGCCCAGGTCACTGAGCCAGTCCCATTGTCTGGGAATAAGGGGGATTTTCTCCGCCATCCCCAGGACTTGCTTCACTCTCGGCTTTGCTTGTCTCCTGCAGGGATTCTAAAGAATCGCCTCCAGTACCCTCCAGCTCTGCAGGGCTTGTCATCTGTGGGCAGAATGACCAATGAGCTCTCTTGGTACAAAACGTCCACGTTGGGTCACCGGGCTGTTCCGGCTGCTTCCTATGGCAGGATCTACTCAGGGGCAGGCAGCCTCTCCCAGCCAGCTAGCCGGTACTCTTCCCGGGAGCAGCTCGACATGCTGATGAGAAGGCAGATGTCCAGAGAGCAGCTGAGCAGGAACAACTCGGGGGAGCGTTTGGAAGCTGTCCCCAGCAGGCACGGCTCCAGGGAGCAGCTGGACACCATCCCTAGTAGGCATGGGTCTAGAGAACACCTGGAAAATCTACCCAGCAGGCATGGGTCTAGAGGGGACTTAGACACCTTAGCTACCAGGTATGATCAAAGCGATCATGGGAATACACTTCCCAGGAGGCAGGGGTCTAGAGACCATCTAGATATGTTACCCAGTAGGTTTGGGTCGAGAGAACAACTAGACTGTGGGCCAGTAAGAGAAGTCTCTAGAGAGTGGCTAAATACGTTACCTAGTAGGCAAATTTCTAGAGATCGAATGGACACTTTGCCAAGTCGAGACACATCTCGGGAGCAATTGGATCTGCTTTCTCGAAGACGGCCTTCAAGGGACCAGCTTGCATCAGCTAGGCAACCTTCAAGAGAGCAGCTGGACTTTTTATCCAGAAGATCTACTTCCAGGGAGCATCTGGATACAGTGCCCAGTAGGCATCCATCACGGGAAAATTTAGAGTCTTTGTCTAGAAGACAGCCCTCCCGAGAGAACCTAGAACCTCTTTCTAGGAGGCAGCCTTCTAGAGAGAATCTGGAAGCAGCTGCCAACCAACACCCTTCCACGGAGCAATTAGACATCCTTTCTTCCATCCTTGCTTCATTTAATTCCTCTGTCCTGTCCTCCATGCAATCCTCCAGCACTCCCTCTGGCCCACAGACCACGGCAACTCCTTCTGCAGTGCAGACCTCCTCAACACCTTCTGTGCCGTGCCCTTCCACACCTCGCTCTGCGACCTCCCACAGTATCTCTGAGCTGTCGCCAGATTCAGAGTAAGTGTTGCCCTTTCCCAGAGGCAGCATTCAGGTCAGTCCGGTCTGTGCCGTGTCTTGGCCAATGGGTAACCTTAACCTCCAGCCACCTTGGTGCTCCTTCTGCCCCTAGTTATGTTCGGTATGGGAAACATGAGCAATGCTACCAGGCTTCTGACTGGCCTGAGGTATAGCGTCTGAAAGTGCCTAATACGTGTGGATGGGCGAAGAGCTGCTCCAGGGCTGGGGCTGGGGCCAGGGCCAGGGCCAGGATCTTGCCGCCACAAGATCCTGGCCCTGGCCCCGGCCCCAGCCCTGGAGCAGCTCCCCACCCAGCCACACGCCCTGCCAGGACTGCATGTGCCAGTCTCCATGCAAGCCCTGGCCCGACAATGTCATGGCCCCACCGCTCCTGGGGTCTCCATGAAAACTGGCCACAGCAACGCGGGCAGAAGCTGCTGGGAATTGGAGTCTACCACAGGCCCAGTCGGATCTGTGGGCCAAGCTTTGCCTTCCCCTAGGCTACAGAGAAGCAGTGATGTCCCGTCTGACGTGTTGGGCTTGGAGGGGTGGTATAAAAGGAGGAGCGTGCCCAACACCTGAGCCCAGCACGTGTCAGCCTCATTTGAAAGCTCTTTCACTGCACTGAGGT